TATCCCTTAAAACACATGAAGTAAAGGCAAGAAAGAAACATGTAAAGGTGCACAATGTAACCTAAGCTAGTAACAAATGGTGTCACGGAGTCCGTTAGTGGAGGACTTGATTTGCACTAAACATGGAGTTGGAGGACTTATTTATGCCCTTTTTAATTCAGGGGCTTGTCATTTACTGTCGAAAAAGTTGAGAGGCTTCTTTTTGCCGTTTGGTTTTTTACACAAAAAGACAGATTTCGCAACTTGTCACTTGCAAGTTGCACGTGCAAGGTTACGTGACGGATTCTGTTGTTTATTTTAATTTCTCAAATTAATTTCATCAGTTCAACTCTAAAATTGATTTTAAAGGAATGATTCTTTCATCAGAAACTTTAATATCATGGTTTGTAGATAGATTAGTGAGTCATGTATCCTCAAATCTTTCGAGTGATGGTTTCAGATCTCTCTACTAACTTAATAAATAAATTAATTAATTAATTAATAATGCTTGTTAAATTGAAAAGGAAAGGTTAAATCTCTGGTTCAGTCTCTCAACTTTTATTTTTGAATTAAATTTACCTTTGAATTTCAAAAAATACTAATAAAATCCTTGAACTTCAATTTTCGAGACCAATTTTGTTCTTCTATCAACAGAAGTGCCAAATGGCATGTTAAGTTGCCACGAAATCAATTCTTATTTGAAATCTTTAATTACGTGGAAAATAACTTAACTCATTATTGTCCACATCATTTTAATTAATTTATATATTAAAAATTTTAAAATTCCTTAAATACCCCATCTTCATCTTCCATCCCCTCTTTTTCTCCCTTCTCGTCTCTCTCTATCCTCAGATGTCTCCTCATCTTGCAACCCAATTAGCACCGATCATCCCTCATTGCTCCAGTCATCCCTCATTGCTCCAGTCATCCCTTACCACTGCAATCACTATCTCTTTCTTCCCCAAACCTCCTCTCTAATAGAATCCAAATCTGGTTCCTAGCACAATAATAATGATCAATAGATTTAATTCAAAAAATCAATTACTCTGCAAATGTATACCAGATCTGTAAAGGAAAATGTAAAAAACACATCCCTTCAATCAACACCAACGGTAACTAGATCTTGAAATTCAAGCAAGCAGAAGCCACACAAAACTCTGAATCCCATACCAAGATAGCCAAGCATGATTGCAGCCAACAAAGAAACATAAGAAAAAACCCAGGCGGGTTCTACTCAAACCCAAGCCCTGGGTTCGGAACCCAAGCGCTAGGTTCAAAGGAACCCAGCACGCCAGGGTTCAATGGAACTCAGGCATGAGTTCCTTGAACCCAGGCCCTGGGTTCCTTCAAAGGAACCTGGCACCTGGGTTCGAGGAACCCACGCCTGGGTTCGAGGAACCCAAGCGTTGGTGCTGGGTTCCTTCGAACCCAATAGGGAGGGGAAGGAGAAAAGGAAAGAGAAGGAGAAAAAAAAAAGGAAAGGAAAGAAAAAAAGAAAGAAAGGAAGGAAATTTTTATTTATTAAATTATATTTTTGGTGCCAAGTCATAATATTTTTATAATTAAAAATGCCACATCACTTATTTTATTTCCAAGTAATATTCAATATTAATAAAAATTAAATTTGTTAACGGAGAATTTTGCCATATCAACACTTAATTGACAGAAGGACAAAATTGGTTCTAAAAATTGAAGTTTA